GAAATAAGACAGTTAGACTCTTTATGTCAATGTCCTGAATATTCAGGTACTGTATATTCAGCAAAAAGCTGTAACCAAGATGAACCAAGTTCTCCTGCCCATCTCACTTGGGGCAGGATCCAAGATATAACTATTTAAAAGACAACAGTTCAGTGATGCTAACTTGGGCAAAACTCTCTGTCTCTCCTCTGTGCACTGGAACACTTCCAGCACACAGCCAGCAGCTGCCATGTTGGACCATGGACCAACCCAGCCAAGGGCTGTTTGCTTAGCAAGAAGTTTAAATTCATCAGGAACATTTGGCCAAATGACTTTTGAGTATAAAACTTCTTTATTTACATTACAGTTGAATTATTATTCCAAATACATTTATTTTTTTAGTTCATTATAGTAAATGTATACTGAAGGAAAAAAGAAACACAACACCTCCTCCTCCACACTCTGGCCCTCCCATCTGTGTGGAACAGGCTGAAGAGTGACTCATCCATGAAGAGGACTAATCCATCGCAGCCTCTGTCTGGCTCAAGCCAGTTTAGGAGGTGTGAGCAGCGGGCCTCTGACAGGTCATCTTGCTCTAAGGCTAGCAGCCTGGAGCCTCACTGTCCTGGCACTGATGCAGGCATTGTGTCTTCCAGCAGTTTCAGCAGCAGCAGTACAGGTGGCAGATATGAAATGATCTCTGAGATGGACCAGTCTGATGTGTCGGGCCTGCTCTGGCGTGGCCACTTGAGGGCGACCGGAACTTGGACGGCCATCTGTCCTGCTGGTCTACTGAAATCTTCTCTGCAGTTAGGACACAGTGGAGCGGCTTATTCCTGCAGCATGCCAATGGCCCTCTCCCTTGCTTCTGGTGACATTTGAGGCATTATGAAATCCACAGAAAAACTGACTAAGTGTGGCTTTTTTCTTGCAGTGACCTAAGCTTTGAATTAAGGCCTTTTTAAAAGTGACCTGCTCAGACATTGTTCCACCTGGATCTCATTGGGTAAAAGTGCACCTAACGAGCTTTCGTGTGATTGGCAAGTTGCAATGCCTCACTGCTCAAGCTGTATTGCTGGTCAGAGGGATTAAAACAAATTGACAACTTTTTTTGAAAATACTGTACATGAGTTATAACTACAGTATTCTCATTCCAGAAAATGTTGTTTCTTTTTTCCATCAGTATATAATTACTTCTATGTAAGAATATAAATGTGATTTAACTATACAAGACTATTCTATTGTGGTTGTTGTTTGTAATGCATGTTTTGTTGCAATATGAATTAATAACATATTGTATATTTAATTTAAATTATGCTTCATTGATTCCTAACATTCATCAAAATACTCTCACAATTTACCATTCCAATTTATAATTGTACCCTCACATCACTACAAAGGCAACAGGGAGAAAAATAATCCACAGAAGTTAAAAAACAGGAAGTAACTCAGAGAATGGAATTTCAGATGATACAATAGTAGACAAGGTTAAAAACAGGCATGTAAACAGCATTAGAGAATGGACCACATAAATAGGGAAAAGAAACAAACCAGGATCTGGAATATGTCAATGCTGTCTTAATGCATTAGGAACAAAAATTGAACAAATGAAAGTTAATGCAAGTTTACATAGTGAATGATACTCTCATCTGTTTATTATTAAACCTGCAGTGTCTGTTTATCAAACCTTAAGATATGTGTATATACATATATTTCCCGTTAAACATAATTTCCTTATGTTCAAAACACTTAAATCTCCTTGGACTTAATAAGGATTTAAGGAATATTTTTTGAATATGCAATTGCTTTTCCAACTAATGCAGAAACCATGTTTTAAGTATTACGGTTATTTAAAAGAAAGCTATTTTACTGTATACAACTTTCTTTAATGCTGTTGCAAGTTCTGATTCAGTTTTCATTTTATTTAAAATGTACAATAAAATAAAAGGAAAATAATAATCAAATGAAATAAATCGATATGTTTTTAAAGAACTACAATTTAATCCAAGGATCTTATAAAGCCTTGAACATGTCCGTGGTTTATTAGTCATGTGAAGTGAAAGTCATCAAATTCAGCAAAATGTCCCCTTGAGCTAGAGGCTATATGGATATCATTTTCAGTAATTTGTCTGATAGATTGGTGAAAAACTAACCATGTCCTGAAATGTGAAGTAAATTATAACAACCTGGTTATTTCCATTACACTGGTTTTAAAACAATAACACTGTAACACAGACTGCAAAATCAAAGAAAATTCCTACCTTGTAGTTTTAACATACTGTATAATTTACATTTCCTGTTAGGCAGGATAACATATATTTTCAGATTTCTTAAGAAGTGTTTTCAGATTTCTAAAAATGTAACACAAAGGAAGTTGAGCACTGGCCAAACTAACACAGTTAAGGTTTCTACTGTAGAATACAAAATTATTCTTAAAATTAAATTTTGACTAAAATATATTGTGGGACTTTTCAGACACATGTCAAAAGTCTAAAAACACTGGTATTTAATCAAAGAATAGAGAGCTGAAATGTAAATGGTCAATTTAAACCTACTGGTTTATTAGTAAAAGGGAAGCCCACCATGTACAAAGAACTCTGATTCTAATCAGGTTAGCTTTACATTTATAACATGCCACTGGTGGACTACAGTATATCTCATTGCATTATTTTCTAGTCAGCAGTATTGCTTAAAGTTTGAAGAATGTATATTCCATGCATATTCTATGTGAAGGATGGATTGTGCTCTATTTTATTAAGTGTTGATTTCCCTGCTGTCTCCTCGTGCAAGAAATGGGACAGCCTTTGAGAAAGTTTGCTACTTCCATCTGAAAAGGAGCATCATCATCTATAAACTGATCTTTTCTGAACATGAAGTAGCAGTGGAAATCCAGGCTACATAACAAAATTTGCTATGGTGATTAATGATGTGTTAGTAATTATTTTGGAAATCCTTAACTAGCCAATAATGCCTGTAGGGGTAGTTCATACTTCCTGGTCCACAGAGCATTATCTGCTAATTATGTATGATGACATCTGGCTGATTAGCACAGTTTTTATTTACAAAGAGAAAAAATTAAACCCATACTTCTTTTGGAGTTTGTGGCATTTTATGCTCAACATTAATTGCACAGATGTAAGACTAGGACTTTGTTAGCATTTCAAACACAGTTCTACAATGATCCAACTTTTTTTCTTACTACATTAAAAATAATAAAATTAATAATTATAACAAATATTAATGATAATTATAATGAAATACAACACCAATATTTTCTCAGCTTGCATATTTAACAAAATAAAACTAAAAAAGAGGTTTATTGTGTAAGTTCTATATTTCTTTATGGTGTTGCGCTTTGAACACGATTACATGTAGTTAACATAGATGAGACTAGTATATACTTTTTGTTGTGTGTTAAATTAGCATGCAATACACAATAATCAGTACAGCTATGGAAAGACTATGACTAAAATATAACCTGTTATCTCCTTATCCTACAATATAGAACCAAAAACAGCAAAAATATTAGTATAGTTATAGCTGCATATTTGTTTGTTTTGATTGATTTGAAAGTAGTAGATTTTAGTTGTGGATTGGGCTTGAAGGTAAAATGAAGGACTTCATTAAATTAATCCTGCATTATGTTGAAATTTACCAACTATAATAACCCTCTGTGATTGAAGACAATAATCTTCAGAACATTGGTCTTCTTGCACTGTGTTCTAAAAATGCAAATATAAACTCAATTGTTTCGTTCTGTTACTTTGTTTAATTTCAGTGGTGTATGATGTGTACAGTATGAAAGGATAACTTCACAGAAAGCATAACTTCCTTTTCTGTAGAGTGTTATCTCTACAAATACTTATACCTAGTTTTACTGCATTTTAAAGCAATTATTTTTAAGCATTGTTGATACAATTTACTAGTATATATCAATAATATATAAGATTTTAAAGGATCAACATTTTAATTTTGAGAATCCTGAAGAGACCTGAGTATTGTGTGTAGCGTATGTAAAGATTGGTACACAAAAATGCTACACAACGAATCAACAGGGTTATAAAATGCTGTATATATATATACAGTACAGTATAATGTGAATACACTACTGTAAGCACATCAAAGTTTATGTCCATACAAAACCAATTCACAAGCAATATGTACATTTGTTTTAAGAATGCTAAATATTCAACAATTTGCTTCTGTTATACAGTACATCTGATTAATGCTTTGTAACAGTCGCATATTACTGTTGTACAGTAGTAATAAAACAATGTATAGGCTTAATAATTGAACATTTTTAAATAAGAATAACTAATGAAGCTATTTTCTATTCAGTCCTATACATGGTGTGAAAAAATATTCCCTAACAATATATTAAAGTATACACAATAAAAAAAATATATAGAAGTGTTGTAGTCAATGTTGTTCTTACTCTCACTGTATAACATTGTTATGGTTATGTTTTAGTTATTTAGTTACTTATGAAGAATGATGAAACTTCCAATTAACAGATGGGCCTTTGAAGCTCAGTAAATTGCTCTTTATTAAATGGGGCATAAATGCAAGGCTACTCTGCTTAAATCAGAGTGTGTTTCAAATTCCTAAAGAGAGCTGAATAGTGGGTATCTTCAGCTTCCCGATTCCTTCTGTGAACTTCTGCTGTCTCATTTCACTTACAAAGCTCTTCTGAATGTCAGAACTATATGATCATTCACACTTAAAATTAACTCAAGAGTATGGGTCTTGGCTCTAGAATTCCCTGATCATAATAGAGCAGAATTGAAACGCTAACCTGAGAGCAAAAGTGTGTAACATACAGTACAGTAAATTCTCATGTGCCTTGGATTACATAATGTTTTTAATAAGGTGGATTCCATAAGAGGTCTGGAAATGTCTGATATTGTGAAGAAGCATTCTATTATGTAATCACAGGATATCTATTTTCACATGCAATTTACACTGTTGTTAAGAGTTATGCTGTGAGTAACCTTTAGTCTTGTTTCTCCACTTTACTGTAGGTAACACATGCCAGAATGCAGTCTTGCCTGCTTTGGTGCGAACTCCCCTGCCTGCAATGCAGCCTTCTCTGGATATGAAACCATTTCTTCCATTTCCACTGGATACAACGTCTGCAGTTAATCTTTTCCCCAACTTTAGTGCGGTGAGTGATAATGAGCCAAGTGCAGGGAAAAATAAAATTTAAAAATGAGTCATGGTTAAACAGGACCAGCAGATTATTATCAAGACAACAGTTGCTTACAGCTGAATAAACTTCGGATTATCCCTGGAACAGTTTGGCAATAATCATTAAAAACAGTAATACAGAATCACACACAATGTGTAATGATAACAGAAAAGTAAGATCTATAATAATAGCACAGTGTAAATGATTTACATTCTTTCTGCCAATTCATAAGGCCTTAAGGGATCTTACAGCCTTACAGTAACTGTATTCAAGGTATTACAGTTTCATTGATGGCTTTTATTAATGTACTAAATATATACAATAATAACTTCATCCCAATTGTATTTCCAAGACTGATGTTGAAACTTAATTTTTTGGTGAGATGCAGTTAAGAAGTGCTGTGAAATGTACTTCAGTGGTTTGTTTACATATAAATAGTTTGTGCATTTCTAATACAATCTCCTTTCAATCAATTCTCTTTGATTACAGGTTTAATAAAAGTATTTTCTCCTTTAAAGCTTGATTACTATATTTGTGATTGTCAAAGACAAAATGTTTTAATTATATGATTACACTACTTACAGTATAATGTTCTCAAAATATCTTTTTCATGTGTGCTACACATTTGATAATGACACTGGATTTTAGCATCTTACAATTTTTCAGACATCTACACATAACTAGTCCTTTACAGTTTACAAAGAACCAGGCTATGATGTTTTACACAGTATATCATGTGAATATGCTTGATATAATGTGTGCAAGTACTGAAGAAAGTTCAGATTGAATAAAGAACCATAAGCCACCTGCAATGGTAACATTCCTACTCTAAATAAAACGAATACATTTGATGATAGATTTACAGAATTCAGCAAAAACAGTAGCTAATTTTTGTTTTTAAACAATCCTGTTATGCTAAAATAAAATGTTATGGACCTTTTTTTTAGCTCTTCTTTTTAACAATGTGATTCCATTTGTTTTTCTTCTGTCTTAGATCATATTTTCTGAGTGCGTCATTAAACATTATATTCTATATTTAAAATGTATTAAATTTACAATGCGGAACATTATATATTCTTAACCGCTAAAATTTATTGCACTGTTCATTCATTTTTGTTTGGTTTACAGTTCTATCCATCTATCAGAAAGCCACATTTCAGATAGGGGTTGCAATAATTTAAGGCCTATCCATCCCTAGAATGTACAGTAAAGTGGACAAAGCAGAACAACACAGTGGACATAATTATTTTCAGAAAAATATTTAGATAAATGATTGCTATGACTAAAAATAAACAATGCCAAATAATGCGATGGGTGGTTTATAATTTAGTCACATTTTATATCACTAAAAAGCTTCCCATAACTGAAAAACAATATTTAACAGTTTACCTGCTTACAGATAATGGCTTTCAATTCAGTTCAAGCTTTATTGTCCCCTATGGGTAATTTGTTTTACAGCACAGTCAAACACAACACAATGACAAAAAAACATAATCAAAAGGGAAGAGAATACAGTGTTACAGGAGAAAAGAAACAAGAGACAAGGTAGTTACTTTGCATTGTTTAAGAGTGTAATTGCAGTGGGAATTAAAGATTTCCTGAGTCTGTTGGTTTTACACCTGGGGGCACAGAGGTGTCTCCCAGATGGGAGAAGTGTGAATTCGCAATGGAGAGCGTGAGACACACACTCCATGATGCTTTTGGCTTTCTTAGTCAGCCTCTCTTTGTAAAGGATGCTGATTTGATTATTCCTGATTATTTTGCCGTTTATATTCACTAATGTACCCAGCCTATTACAATTACCGGTACTTATGTTGCCAAACCAGCAAGTGAAGCAGTACAGTATGTTAAGACACTTTCAATGAATGTTTTGTAGAAAAAATGTAAGAATAGTTTTATCTACCTGAAAAGTAACTAAGTTTTCTAAGAAAAAAAAGTCTGTTGGCCTTTTTTATAGATGGTGTCACAATATTTGTCCCATTTTAGGTTTTTGTCAATGACCAGTCCCAAGTACTTATAGTCATCGACAATTTCAACAGGCTGACCATCAATTGTAGTGGGTTGAGGGGGTGTGGTATTTTTCCTAAAATCAATAACCAGTTCCTTTGTTTTTGAAAAATTTAACTTTAGAGAGAACTGGTTGCACCAATGAGTAAAATCATTTAGAATGGGCCCATGATGGTATACTGTGTCCTTTAATAAACTGACCAGGACTGTGTCATCAGCAAAGTTAATGAGATGTCTGTCTGTGTGTTTGCTTATGCTGTCATTAGTTAATAATTAATAAAACATTTTTGCTTACACTTATATAGTTCTTTTCTGGACACTCTACTCAAAGCACTTTGCAGGTAATGGGGACACCCTTCCACCACCACCAATGTGCAGCATGCTCCTGGATGTACATTTAACAAAATGTACAGCAGAGGGGAAAAGACACAGCCCTTTGGATATTATTATTATTATTATTAGGGATGTCTGCTAATATATTTGAATTGTTTTAAGCAGTGACTAATTTTCGTAAATATATTAGTTTTATGTGGATTTGATTATTTAATTAGATTGAAGGGGGAATTTAATTTATTAAAAAAATATTTGAGAATACCACAAGTGATTAAACTATATCTCTAATAGACATGACCTGTAATATTAAACAATTTCTTTTTTAAGATTAGGCTAATTTTAACATATCTACTCAGATTCTTTTAATAAATCATTCTTTCTCTTCTCTTGATAAATCACAGGCTTTCCCCTTAAAACAACAGATGCAAATCAGTCTGTATTGTTCTGATTAATGAAAACGTTTCTCAGAGGAGCATTTTGACAGAATGGGTACTGCTGAGGAGAAAAACAAAGCACCTAATTTTAGCTGTTTTATTATTTTTCATTCTTTTTGCAGCATTGGTTAAAACAAATGTGTTGTTTTTATGTGAGTTTAAAAACCTGACCTATCTAATACCTTTTGGGTCCAGGAGGTAGCTTGCTCCTGTTTTGATGTCAGTGTCAAAGAAGACAATACAGCAGTTTGTGGTCAGTTATTAACTGGGTATGTGTTATTCTTTCAAGAAAGCAATTTGAAGTAGCATTTTCAGAAAGTTTTGGACAGTAAATTGCCCAAAGGTGTAAGCTATACTTGCATTGTTCACAGCAATCATTTTAAAGCTAATGTTTTTCTTCAGGCAAAAAAGCATGAAGAAATCGAAAATACAACAGATAAGTTCCCCATGAGAGGTTGCTATTTTCTTCTAAAAAATAGAAATTGCAAGAATGAGAAAGAATGCTAATGATTTATAATTTTGTCACAGACTTCAAAGACATACTGGATTGGAAGCTTCACTGAAAAAAAACACTTGCAAAACAGATTTCTTAGGAGAATACTTTGAACAGTTAAATTTGTGTTTTATATTGTTTTAATTTATCATTTGAAGCTTAAATCAATGAGGCTTCTGTTTCTGTTAATAACCAGATTAATAGCAGTGGATTAAAAGTGTTCATTCCAAATTCTAGAATGGTCATTTGCATTACATTAAAAAATTAACACATTTACTTCTACAGTATCTTACTTTCTTCAGGTGTTCCTCACAATTCCAATTTGGGGCTTATTGTTTAGAATCTATACGTTGTCTAACTGTGGTAGTATACCTTTGCAGTAAAGTTGTTTATTTACAAATCTGAAAGGCAGGTTTTTAGTATCCATACAATAATTGGATGTCCTTAATATGTACAGTGCCTTATTGGCACCCTTGGTAAAGATGAGCAAAAAAGGCTATGAACAAATATCTCTGTTCATCAGCTTGATCTTACACTGAAAATATGAGAGACATCTAACTTTTCAGGTTAGGTGTAATAATTCGAAGAAAAATTAAATACTTATAGAAAAATAAACATCTTTCTCAAAAACACATACTGTATTAAATGCTTACATTTAATTGAATACACACGTAATCATAATTGAATACACTGATGTAGTAGGGCTAAAGTTTAGGTGGAGCGGTGGTTCTGTGGCTAAGGAACTGTGCCTGTGACTGGAAGGTTGCTGGTTCAAATCCTGTGGCTGGCAGAGGAATCCTGCTCTGTTGGGCCCCTGAGCAAGGCCCTTAACCCTAACTGCTCTAGGGGTGCTGTACAATGACAGACCCTGTGCTCTCACCCCAAGCTTCTCTCCCTGTCTGTGTCTCCATGGAGAAAAGCTAGGGTATGTGAAAAGATGAATTCCTAATGCAAGAAATTGTATAGGGCTAATAAAGAAACATTAAATTTAGACTTTTCAGAAAAAAGTATTGCAATAAAACTAAAGATATTGTGTTTACTCAAAACATACAGTATATTTATAATCTTTAATGTGAAGATGTACAGTGCCCTCCAGAATTATTGGCACATTTGGTAAAGATGATCAGAAAAGTCTATGATAAATCAAATCAAATCAAAGTTTATTTATCAAATACACAACAATAAACTTTGATTTGATTTGATTCAATATCTTTAGTTTTATTCCAATTTCTCTTTTCTGAAAAGCCTAAATTTATAGTCCTACTACATCAGTGTATTCAATTATGCTTACTTGTGTATTCAATTAAATGCAAGCATGTAAGCATTTCTTTGGAAACTATGTATTTTCCAGAGTAGCTATAAAAATCTGATTAAGAGGTTGCAAAGAATTGGTAGAAGTCTGGTTTATTGTGATACCCTTTATATTTTGTCTTTATAGAAACCTGCAGCCTTTCAGCAAGTGTAATTATTGCGACAGAAGCAAGATTGTCTTATCTTTAATATAACGAAAATGAATCTATTTTTACCAGTGATATTTTTTGTACCTATAGCTATTTTCACGGCATCATACCAATACTAAGCTATTTCTTAAAATGTACAACTGTGATCCACTGGCAATGAAAACAATATTGATATATTGATACAATATATACAGTATACTTGATTTCTTGTAAAAGTACTGTATTAGTCTCCCTGCAAAGTATTCACAC